TTGAAAAACGAGTCATTTGCTGAGGCTGGTGTCAATAAAAGCTTTTATTGGACTAACAAGGATGTTTTCTGTTCTGAAACTTACAGGATATTCTTATAATATGATGACCTCTTAGATGTCAAAAGCTCAAGGAAAATTTGATTTCTCAGTTCATCACCCCTTTAAAAAACAATAAGAGATTAGGGGCCAGATTTACTAAACAGGGCAAATTAGCGTGAGAGCGCAATTGCAAAAAAGCGCAGATGGGAGTGGACAGTTCTGCGTGTGATCTATTGACGATGTGCAAATGAAAGGACACAGGTGCACCCGGATCATTTCAAATTTCAATTTAATTTCAGTGCAAATTAGTGCCTGATTTTAAGCCATGCATTTTTTGGGTGGTAAATAATAGTGCAAATACCAGTCAATTGACTTGGTCAAACCTTAGTAAGTCACCTTGCATGATTCATTTAAATGAAAAGGGAAAACTCTACATATAGCCACAAAACAACTGTGTCCACGCCTTTTCAGTGCTATTTTTTCACTGCGTTTATTCAGGAAATTCTGACACTAGTTTTTTAATGCCAAAAGAGGGTTTGCACTGGCACAGCTTGTTAGTGTTAGTAAATCTGGCTCTTGGACAGATTAGATTAGTTATTTAGCATATGTTTCAACAAGAGTTGTTTTTAGAGTTTGGGGTAGGAAAAACAATACAATCTATATATTTAAAAAACAATTTCCACAAAGCATGAAACTCTGTATTGCCTATAATTGAAGAAAAAACACACAGGGCAGTATTTTTGCATGTACCTGTCATTTACATCTCATTAAAGAAGCTTGAAATTAGCCTGTTCTTAGATATTACTTTTTAATGCACTTGCTGTTTGTAGTTATTTGTTCTAGCCAGTCCTGAGGTGAACGAAAGCCAGCAACAACATCCTCAAAATGTGTACCATGACATCAGTGTTACCAGAAACAAGATTGTGACTGCACAGTTCGAGTGCTATCAGAAGATCATGAAGGACAACAATCAAGACGTCATACCAAGTAGAGGTATAGACATTGTACATATTAGAGTTTTGAGAAGATATCCTTTTTTTTCACTGTTAAAATACTACTTTACAGAAATTCATTCTGCAAGACACACAGCAGCTTCAAGCCAATCCATTTTAGCCAAGCTATAATTATATGTCGAAATAAATGTGTCATGCTAAATGTGTAATATATAATAAAAGTAATAATTAAAAATAATAAACTGTGACATACATTCGTGCCTAATTAGTACAGCAAGAACAAACAAAAAAGCCTCAGGTGACTCATATTCATTGTTAGGGAGAGTGCATTTGGTCCCATTGGGTGGCAGGACAGCTGTGAAATATTTGCTTTGTTCCAAAACCTAGAGGGCTCCCTTCTTAACATCCTTAACAAGACAACAATAACAGATCCGGAAAACTCTCCATAGCCTGCGGCACACCAAAAGCGCATGGGGGACTAGATTTTGGAACAGGCGGATATAACTAAGAATAGTTGATAATGATAACAGGAAGTTACGGTTTCCCAGTCTCCACAGAAACTAATAAATATTTTGGGCTTTTTTTTCGATATTCAGCTGGCCCGGTGTGCAACAGGACCTGGGATGGATGGTTGTGTTGGGACGATGCAGAGGCCGGCATCACCTCCGAGCAACACTGCCCTGACTATTTCCAGGACTTTGACCCTACAGGTGAATGTTAGAGATCAGTAAGGTTCCTTTAACCTGTATAAAATTCAGTCTGAGCACTTTAACACGCCATCTTAGATTTATCCCAGCTCCATTACACCTCACTGTCAAACCATGCTAAAATCATTGGCCAAACTTTTTTAAGACATATTTTCTGCCATGAAGAAAGTTGATGTGAAAGAAAGAGCATGTTTTCAATATTAAGAATATTAACATTTTGCTGTGAAGTTATTAAAGGAGAACTATTAAAGGTGCAAAATGAACCTTTGGTCTAATAAAACATTGTTACCTAGTCAACCGTTCTCTGAGATTTGTTTTCATGAAAATCGAATGTAAACAGTTTTATCTCTAAAACTGTGTAGCGTATAACGCTAGTACTGGGGGCATTTACTAAGTAAAAAAAAAAATCACTAGTTAATACCACTAACAAGGCTCAAAATAGCCCCACACTAACACAGTAACATAATGAGGGTCCATACATTCAAAACGAAGCACTGAGAACTCAAAGGTCCCCTGACATGTTTTTTTAATTATTTTATAATGTTTCCTGGGTTGCCCTTGTATGTTTTTTAGATCAAAAATAGTCATAATTTAGAAATAAAAGGCATTTTTCCTAGCCTGATTTTAGCCTCTGCTTAGAACGCTCTGTTAGAAGGTGCGTGTCTGCTGTGGGATTCAATGTAACCGCCCACTGCTGTGATTGGCTGACATGCTTGCATATGAAATAGCTACATATTACATGTGAAACTCTCTTGAATACGTCATATATCGATATTACTGAATCGCATAGGCGTACTTTGCGGGTGGGACGGGTGGGACATGTCCCCACCACTTTTAGCCAGGGTCGATATTGTCCCCACCACTTTTGAAACATCTCTCGCGGCACGGATGCAAATTATACAAATAAATAAATCATCTCTAGTTAACTAGCAGAGCATTCATTTATTTCGTTTCTTTAAATAAGAGGCGATCTAGCGCTGAAATGTGTTGCTTTTGAAAACAAGTGGTCAAAGTGCTCGTTGCCGCTGCGATCAGTGGCGTGGATACAGTTTCTTGTGGCTCGCGCTGTCAGCAACAGTTTCACACGGACTCGCGCTTTAATCCGTTGTGGAGACTCTATATTTCGATCCGGTGAAATCACAAAGTATAAACATAATCGGTTTTAATCAGAGAGAGAAAAAAAATATACGAGTGCGGAATTAGAACCCAGAACCTCTGTCACGCTTGGCAAAAGTTCTGCCACTGGACTAAAGAAATGCTTGTGTGTCATTATCAGATCTCTGTATTTCATCACCGTGAAAATTCTTGCCACAAACACATATTACATCTCATTAAACGACAAATGAAAACACAATGTATTAGTTTAAATTGATTGCTAGACATCGATATGTTATTGTAATATATAATACAAATAATCTGCCAGAGCTTCGTTGTGCAGTGTGTAGCAAGGTTCAGGGAAGAAAGGAGGCAGGAACCGGATGACAAATAAAAAATACAACTTTATTTAAACAAAATAAACAAATTACCTGCCAGCAAGCCCCTCGCGGACGACTGCTGGCTACCCAAAATAAAACATAAATACCGGCCAGCAGCCACTCGCGGACGACTGCTGGCTTACCCAAAATAAAATATAAAACAAAACAAAAGCAGGCCTGTTCCTCTCTCGATCATCCACTCCATCGATCGCTCCCCCTTTATGGCCTCTGCTCCTCCGTGAGAGATGCGAGACCGGTGTGCTTCACAGGTGCTGCTCATTAGCAATCGCACCACCGGCCTCGCGACTTTCTCTCACATCCCTCGGCCATCCTGCTCACCACACAGTGTAATGGAGTTTCTGTTCTCTCTAAAGCCCGAAACTCGTCCGCTCTCGTCGAGGTAAAAAGCTGCACTTGAACACATCGAGAGAACTACAGGCGACTGTCAGCTGTGCGTTCTGCACCTACGTTTAATAAGCCAACTGTCTATTTCTGCAGATATAACGTTATTAGTCTATATTCTTCATTCAAAAAGGAAAACCGACGCTGCCGGGGCTGCAGATATACATATCGTAAACAAAGCAGCGCGTGCTTACCCTTTAGAATATCAATCCTGCTAAACACTTTCTTTAAATAAGATTATTTTCATCCTACTCAATGAAATGAATGAACACTGAGCAACTGCCATGCTTCGCTCGTTTGCAAGCCATGATATCTCTCGAGGAAAAACTCAAATCTCCTATTTCTCTAGGAAAAAATAAAATCGTGCCTGCGCATGTTCGTACTTCCTGTTCCTAGCTCATTTTCTCATCGTCGGGCCAAATTCTCTGGCTGGGCAAAGCAAAGAAAGGGGAGTAACCTTTCCCGTAAATGACGTTATATAGGGGGAGATTCTAGATCAGCGCGTCTGAGATGCAGACGGATGCAGAGAAGAGAAAAATAGCCAAAGCTCGGTTTACACCGATTGAAAATTCTAGACACGAGGGGGCCAAATACAGTCTAGGGGAACTCATATTAATGTTAAAAAACCTCAGAAAATGAAAAATTTCATGTCAGGGGACCTTTAAGTGTACAGACCGTTTAATAAGAAGATACGTTATAAAGACAGTTCACTTTCCCAGACAGGAGCCATCTTTGAACTTCTGAACTGTATGAACGGCGTTCGTGGTTCAACTTGTCGTGACTGTTTTCCTGTATACACAAAGTGAACTGTCTTTATAAAATACTTATTATTAAACTGTCTGTACACTTACAAAGTTCTCAATGCTTCGGTTTGTACAGTAAGTACGGACCCTCATTATGCGCCGGAGTTCTCCTTTAAGTTATTTTAATAATTTCTAACACTTATCTTAAAAGGTGCTCAGAAAAATACCAGTAAAATAGTACTTTAGCCATTATTTTGGTCTTTTTTTTTTTTTTTTGGAGGCTGGGTGTTTAACCACTTTCACAGAACCAAACAAACACTGGAAAAAAGAAGCAAGAGGAAAAAATATATTATACAGTATTTTAGATCTATGAATACAATAAAAAGGTAAATAACTATAATAAAATATTAAATTCAATAAAGCACATCACATACTATATATAAGACAGGAGTATAATGACATGCCTTACCTCAAAATGTTATTAAGAGAAGCCAATATTATCAAGATATGGCATTCAGACATCTGAAAAGCTTCATTTTACAAGTGAATAAAACTTTTCACTTTCTGGTCTCCATATCTTAATATTTGATGCTTCTCACAGTAACATATTTTAAACTACTTTCTTCTTTTGCAGAAATGGTCAGCAAAATATGTTACAGAAAGTGGGCAGTGGTTCTTGCACATCCTGCGAGTAACCGAACATGGACAAATTTCACCAGATGTAATTTGCACACCACTGAAGGACGAAGGGTATGAGCATAAACACTACAGTCACTTTGAGATGAAAATAAACACACATTTTGAATGGGCTTGTGGTATAAACACTTCATCACTCTATTGTTTGTGTGATTGCAGACGGCAATGAACTTGTTCTACTTAGCATTAATAGGTCATGGGCTCTCTTTGACATCTTTGTTCATCTCACTAGGCATATTCTTCCATTTCAAGTAAGTGCAAATGTCTCTCTCACTATTGTATTTCCGTTTAATGCTCATCACAGTAATTTTTGTTATTTTGCTGCCTTTTTTGTGCTTATAGGAGTTTGAGCTGTCAGAGAATTACCCTGCACAAAATCTTTCTTTCCTTTGTATTAAACTCCATCATCACTACCATATGGTTAACAGCAGTGGCAAACAACCAGGA